ACTTACTTAATGAAAATACAAAATATTACGACCCTTGCAAATACAATTAACTAATTTCATGGCAAACAATCGTATGGACCAGAAAACAATAGTACGTCCAGGCATTAATGCGTTGAGTGCCGGCGTGTACCATTTTTTGGTACATGCCAATTTTTGTATGTAAATAGTTTTTATCGGGCATGTGAGTAATATACATTACAAAGCAGTAGATATGTAAAACAATGACATCAAGATATATAAAAGTCACCAAAAACTTAAATATAATTTAATATTTTATTTTAAATATTCAATACAATATATAAGCAAAATATAATTGAAATTTTCGGTGGCACGGAACGTATTAAAGAAAACAAACGGAACATTACTCTCTACTAAAATAAAAAGTAAGATAAACCGAAAAAAGTATAACAAAGGTACAAAGGCAAAAGACGTTAAATTTCTTCCCATGATTCTTTTTTTCATGATTTTCCTTCATAAATCATAAACATCAAAAACGGTTCCAAACTTTTGAACGGCAGTGTATATGCATGCGATACACGGTACGAGCGATGATATCGCGACTTCGTAGCGCATTAAAGTAGAATAATTTTCTGATAGGTAGAACGTGCAGAAACTTCGTTCGAGGTCGAGGTAATTTTCAATGTCATCTGCATTCGAGAAGAATATGCATTACGTCATGAAGTGACTTGGAAGTTTCTTATTGTTAGCCGTAAATTCCACCGTTCGTGACGATCCTATTGATTTAACCCTTAACCCTTCCTGGCATAACTGGGTTATACTTGACCCACGCTATTGGATTAAGCGGTACATAACGTTCACTGGGAATAATGGAAGTTCGCTAAATAATAATCAGAGAACAAGAAATATTGAAATAATTTGATTAACGGTTAATATATTTAAATATGATGAATATCATTTGATTCTTTAATGTTAATTCGAAAATGTTCTCGATTGAAAAAATTGAACAATGGAAGCTTTTTCACGTTTGAGACAATATTAACTATAAAAATTAATGAACTTTGCACTTGTTTCAAGTATTAATTGAGGAATTTGATAAAAGTTTCTTGTATTAGATATAAGAAATATCTCATTAATTTCCTATGTTTTCCATTTTTCTCCTTACAAAAGATGAAAACTGTAAAATACAAAGTTCTTGAGTTGATATTTAAATTGGTGGAGAAAATGAATTTTAAAAATCGACAGCTTTATTAAGTTATTTAAAATGTAATTTCTGTATATTTGATTATCGTATTATTAATTTTTAAAGGCAATAATAATTAACCGAAAATGCGGAAGAGTCGTATCAGGAAAATGCTGGTATTCCTGCGTCTAATTTTAGCTCCGGAATTAATGGCAGAGATCGATACAAGTTAAACTTGTTATCTAACATTCGTGACATTATCTGCGATATTTTTGTGTGATTACCTAAATATATATCAATTGTACTCCAGCCAATGTAATTCCACTGATATAACATCAATTAATTATTTCTTGTCAGTCTAATGATCATTTTCTCACCTGAGTTCCTATGTACTTTGATTTCTAATATTTGTCCATACAATATCAGCAGCTAACACATAGATATATACATATAATAATAATTTTAATTAAATTATAAAATACTATTCAATTGTAAATTAAAATACGATTAACTTTTTCTACTCATACAATTTATTAAATTGAAAGTAAGCTATTCGCCAATTTCATTAATTCTTCACGACAATAGTTTAAAACAATAATTAATCTAAAATTCATCACGTGGTATTTCCTAAAAATTATTTTCCTGGGCACAAAATGTATCTAATTATGTCGTTCAATTTGCATTCATGAAAATCGGTTAAGAGTCATGCATGTGTAGTACTGATCATAGAAACATTAGAAGTACTCGGATTCACTGTAATTTAGATGAGTTTATACATTATAATTGTATACTTGCAGTTTTGTTTACAAAAATATTAACAGTTTCACGAAATGAAGATAAACAACGAAAGGTTCATTAAACTTGCTATCTCTAAATTGTTCAAGGAAATGGTTACATAAAAATATCAAGAAATTATTTTAATCAACCATTTCAAACTTATATTTCATGCTCTAGTTCGTTTTTTTCCAGTAATATTTAAGATGACAATCAATTCTAAAGGCATAAATAATGTTATTCCAATTTAATAATTACTTTGACCTGTACCGGTGAGTTCTCTAACGAATCAACTGTCCAATTCTTATATAAAAATCATAAAAATATAACTTTGTATATACGTTATAAAAATTGATTACATATGTGTGTATTCGAACGATTGAAATCGATAGGAAACGTATTCATACGAAGCAAAACGTAGCAGTAAGTCTAACGAATATTTCCTATTCATTGGAACACATTCAAATATCACTTTCATTCAAAATGCATTCAAATATCACTGTTACACGTGTAATGCAAATGTAACTAATTTATTTCCTAGCTTTTTATGCAAATATATGTTTTGAAAAATTAATTTACACGAGTGAGAATTAAGTGTAAAATTATGTGGTTTATTCGAAGCTTTAATGCAGTGGAAATGTTACGTGAACTGGTTAATAAACTTCATTTACATGTTCACTTTACGTTCTGCAAAACCGCATTTACTGTATGCATGTCATCACATAATATTCATTATGTTACCATTTCTGACACTGTAAATGTGGAACCATTTGAATCGAAATAATGACCATTTGAATTAAAAAAAAGCATTTTCATACACCTGTTTATGATATGATAGTTTACATCATAATCTCATTAATTTTCTTGTAGAAAATGCCATTCAAAATTGAATGGTATAGATTGACCAATGTTTATTCAGTAAATGTCACAGAAACAAATGCCTTTAACAAAAGTTAAAAAGACTATCAAATACAAGAGTAAAAATAAAATTGTATATCTTATTTCAGAATGTATGTTTGTATATGGAACGAAATTTCTAAACTGATCTGATTATAAGTTACAATTTGTAACTTCCTGACCTATGATTTATTTTACAACTAGAATCACAAAAATACCTCTAACGGTAATCAAATTTATCAAGAAAAGAAATGAAATAGACGCTACAAGAATAAATTTAGTATAAAGGATAAATGATCGTAGAACCAAAGTAGTATTTTTTTGTCAATTTATGTGAAATATACTATATACGTTTATCAAATTCAATCTAGTCTTTACCACGAATTTGACTCGCTATTATAAGCTAAAAGATAAAACAATAAACATAAATAAAAAAACACAAATTTTTAGAAAATATTTTTGGAGTGTATAATATATAATATATTTTAATTTTATTTTAACTTACAGAGACCAGTTACAAAGATTATTCACCTAAAACTTTAATTACATTTCGTTTTTCTTCGTATCTTTAACTACACGTGAATATGAAATATTCTGTATTTAAATGTAATAATTTAAATTATTGTAATAAATGTAGTAATTTAAATAATTACATTATTACAATTACAAAAGTATATTTAAGTTATATTACATTCAATACATACGATTAAATTCACATTTAGCATTTTTCAACGTTAAAATCACGTACTTTATTTTTATTTTCTTATTTCTGAGTATTATCCACTTACGATTTCTTTTGCATTTACGTTAAAACCACTTCATCCATAATAATTGACTAGAAAAAAAATTATTGCAATATTCATTGCAAATCTACATTTACGACAATCTTATTAATAGTATTTTCTCTCAAATTAAGGAAAGAGGATAATACTCACGTTTGCTATATTCAATTTAAAATTCTCTTCGCGATTCGACTTAACATTGTAAGACAAAGGGTTAATCGAATAATCAATAATATTGCTGATCATCAGTTATAGAATTTATTTCTTATTAACAAGTGAAAAATAAATAATTCTCTGTCAACATTCTGTTTATAAATAATGAATAAATGATAAAAAGGAAGACGTTAAAACAGAATTTCGTTGAATCACGGCCAACTTATTCCTTGAGAACTTTGTAAAAGGCTTTAGTTGGCCAACCCTCTCGACACACCCATCATGAAAGCAATAAACAGAAATTTAAAAAGAGTACACGCACAACACACCAGATTTACGAGAAAAAAAGGACATTCCATGTGCGCCAAATATTAAGCGTCTATCATGTTTAACAACAACTGTACCATTTATGATAAAAATGACGGAACTACATTCTTCCATGCTGAGGTACTTAAGAATTTACATGTCAATCGTTGCAGAAATACTAATAAACTTCACCCAGTTCATCCACCATAGTAAAAATTAAAACAAATAAATGCATTACATACTACACAATATTTATGAACATTGACATTTACCATTTATTCATAATAAATTCCATAGTAAATGATCATATGATGCCATTTATCAACAAGTTCCCAATTAACCAAAGCATACGTCTATTTTCAAACACACAAACAGTCTGCAAATAAAAAGTCCACGCTAAATTACACGTAAATCATTTGTTTCTAAACTTTACTCCAAAAAGAGACTTACACCATTTCCATCCTACACAATCATACAACTGCCATTCCCCATTAAACTGTCAATTCCTCGACGCACGCTTATGCTTCAAAATGCAAAGCGTAAATTGTCAATAACTAAAAAGTTTGCACTTTATAAATGATACTCGTCCCCCCAATTTTCTGAACTCGCAACACTTTCCCAATAAACGGTCCAATTCAAATCCACTAATTCTAGCATAAAATAAAACGAGTGTATCGCCTACCTGTCGCGAAGAAAATTCACCCGATCGATCCACGAGAGTGCGATGATTACGAGCACAAAACTTATTCGCGACGTCGAACCACGGCGCAATGTTGTGGCTACGATGACAGGAGAGCTTCGACATGAAACGCGTTCCGCGTGCGACGGTCCAGCACCGACTGACGACGCGCCGTTCACGGGCCGACGTCACCGTCTGACTACAGACGGCGCCTAACTACTCGCCACGCGATTGGTTGCCGGCCGACCACCTTGCGCGTGTACTACACTTCTTCGTGTGTACACCTGGCTAAATCGCGCGCGCGATACCCGCGCACGTTTCAGCGGCCGGGAACAATAGAAGTGGAACTGATACCTTTCCGTCGTACTTTTTTCGGTTTAAGACGACTGAATGAGACGCGCCATCCACTGCTGGTGGCTCGCGTTCCAACCCCCTCCAGACGTACTATTGACCAATCATGGGAATTGAAGGGTTTGCTGAGAGAACGAGGTAGCTCCAGTTTTAACTTATTTTATTTATTTATTTATTTATTTATATGATAAAACCTTGAAATATATTGCCAAGGACGTCATTATAAATTACTTCTTCCTATATACATAGTGGATGGTCTCTTTTATTGTTCAATATATTTGGACAAATATGTTCAGAGAAGGAAAGCTATTGAAATAATTAGAAATAGGACAAAGTTTTATATGAACTTCACGTTGGGATATATAATCAGCTAAAATCTTTCGTCTTTACATTTATTTATTGATATTGTTTTTTTACTATATGCACACGTCAGTTTTATTTAGATGATAGAGATAGGTGTTAGCGGAGCTAATTTTTGCGAGGTGGGGTGCAACACCTCCTCCGAAAAAAGCTAGCCACGCTAATCCAAAATGTTTTGTTTTTCATTTCTTTGTGTCTATCATGAATTTTCATGAATTTTCATAAAATTCAGTGACTATTTATATCAAAATTTATTTTCCGCGTCGAGTGTAAGTAACGTTAATAGAAATTGATTAATTTTCAATGTTTTGCAGTTAAACAAGTTAAGCAACACTGCAAATTGTGAGTGTATTGATACATGTATGAAGTTTCTATGTGAGAATAGTCAGAAAATACAATAAAACAGTCTTTATCAATATTTTCTTATTTATTTCATTACTACACTGACATTTAAATAGGATAACAACCATATATTCTAACTCCTTATAAAAATACATGCAATAGAGGGATAACCTTTTGTACATGTGTCTCGACGTATAGCCTTGTCAGACATATCGTTTGTGGTTATCTATCGTTCATAGCAAGCTTCTATCAGTTAGTTCCTGAAATTCTCATGCACTGAAACTACCAAACAGACCACTTCTATGTGAACAATTTGTAAAAGGCAAGGTACTTCTATAACGTGAACTAAAAATTGCGTTGTTGCCCCTCTAAAACGCGATTAAAAATTGCGGAAAGGTAATGATAAAAGTGGGATTCTTTGAAAAGAAATAATACAAATAAAATTAATCAAATGGCGACGTCGATGAAAATTTTAAAGGAATCTGACAGTGATTAGTACACTGATAATGATTTTACAAATACATATTTTATAGCAAAAAGTTAAAGATGTAATTCGTAAATACAGAAAATATATTTTTTTGCAATTTTGCTTACGTTATATATTACACAACTGCATGCTGTTTTAGATATATGCATATATTTTGAATATTTGCATATTCGCTTGACAATTTGTCGAAATTGACATTGTCGCATATTGTATTTAAATACAATGTGCTAAACTTACAATAAGAATACCTAATGCTTTGGTAGTAGAAATTTTAATATTTCAATATTTCAAAATTAAAATGACAACATTATGAAATAACAAAAAACACACGGGACATTTATAGCTAACTATTAACTTCATATCGTTCCGTACTGGACCCATAACTCCATTAGAATACTTGTGTAATATATTTAAATAATCTATAAGACAATTGTTCCCAGTTTTACGACTACACTGTAGACAAACACAATATTAATACACCAGAAACATTATAAACATATTATATTAAATTAAGATATTAAAATATAATTAAACTCACGATTTTGGAGCTGCTTCCAAAATAAGAAATTGAACATATTTGCAACCACCAACAGTAACAGTTAATATTCATTTTAATAAAATTTGAGAAAACATGTCAAAAATAAAATTCTCCATAGCTATTCACGTACAGTATTACATTTCGAAGTAAAATGTGGAGGCATATTCAGAACTGATGTGTTTAATACAAGCATAAAAATAAAATTTATTATAAAAGGAAGATATATTATTAAGTTATCTATGATTATCAACTTACACAGAAAACTCACTCAATTATCTGATCAGATAAATTATTTACAGATTGCTTAGGAATTATAATCCTCCACTACCTTTGAATGTATCGGTTATATTTTCATTAAGAAGTAATTGCACCTTTGCAGGTCACTATCGTATCGTTCATTTTAGTGGTATTTCGTGATGTAATCGTACAGATAAAAAAAAACTTTGTCTCGTCATTCATCGTGTTAATTTGTTACTGCATTGGTAGACAGAAAATTTAATGAGAGTTTTTATACCTTATTCACATTCAGCATTCTTCTGAATATTTTTACACTAATGATGTCTATGATAAAAAATTACTGTACAACTCAGTAAATATGAACAACACAATTATAAAAGAAGTCACAATTAGTTATAGGTATGTATATGAATTACATGGTACCAAAAAAACATTACGACTAGTAAAAAGATTTAAATTTTTGTCCATGAGTTCAACCTGACGAAGAGGAAAATATGTTTTCTTTACAAATGAGTATTTTATAATATTATCAATTTTTAAAGTGTTCCTTGATTTACCACATTTAATAGAAATATCAATTATATCACATTCTTTTAGCTGCAGTGGTTGAAATTCTATCTTCGCTTACAATTCCTTTAATATAATATTAATTCGTTTTTTATTTCTAACTATTAACTGCCTAATATTCGTTGATCTTTCATTATTCGTATTCAACCATGTAAGGAAAAAAACTGCTTATTACTGTACAATATTGCTATCATTAGTAAAAAATTGTAAACTGATCTATGTCAGCTGCGTACGTCTGATAAAAAGAACCATTTGCATACTATGCAAACACAATCGTATGAACAAAACAAAATTTATATTCTACGGAATAAATGCATAGATACACTAAATAAACGACTGTTACCGACACAATAAACATGCCTAGCATAAAAGCTGCTAATATTTATGAAGATAAATGTTAATTCAAAAATTTATGAAGATAAATGTTAATCCAAAAATTTCATTTATTTTCTTTTATTGTGCATTATAAGTGTTTATTATAAACCATTTTTGAAAAATATTATAATTGCACAGATTACACAAGATACGAAAAAGTGCATAAAACATCCAATTTGTAACGCTTTTTATGTTTGCAAATAAAATCCATCGTCTGTCGTAGGTCTGCTTTTCTAATAACGTTCTTGGCTATAGAACTACCAGGCAGGTCAAACTGACCCATTCCTGATTTCTTCTTTTTGCAATTATTGAAAACATTACCGAAGATTCTCTGGGATGTAAGTATAAAAATTGATTTAGCAATACGAAAACTGAACTGCAAATCGATCTGCAAATTTTCAGGAGATGCACTCCTGGAGCTTCTATAGAAAAAATTCAATTTAACTACTCGGCAGTTTTAGCGTTGAAATTCTGAATTCGCATGAAGATCCGCAATCTACTCATCACTGTCCACGCAGGACTGACGTTTAATCTCCTGAATCCCTCCGGAGAAAAAATTTGGAACTAGTGGAGATATGAAATGAAACTAGGAAGAAACGAGCGACGCGGAAATATGCGAAGTTTCAAGATTACCCGGAGCATTGTTATCGGGAGAGACAATGAAACGAGATCTCGTCGCGGATTTCACGTTTCCGCGATTCCGGCGGGACTTTATTCACGCGTGTCATTCAACGACGAAAGACTACGTGATTGCTGCACAAAAGTATGCAAATACAGAAACGAATTCCACGAAAGAAAACTCGTGGAACGTTACATCATCAACGACAGTCTTTTACACGACGACATAAAGAATAACAACTTTCGCCCGTCCACCATTTATAATTTGGTGAAAGTGAACGGCACCTCTTCCATCTGAATTTCGTTCAAACTCGGGGACATCTATTTAGTTTCATTGCTCGAGAATATCGGGCCTTCTAATTAATTCCTCGCCCATTCAAATAAAACCTTTCACGTCCTTTCATAAACGTCCTTACAAAATATCTGTAGTTCTTTAACCACTTAACTATGGAATTTAGTTTGAAAAATCTCTCATTGTGCGCGCAATAAAATCAAATAATAAAGTGCATACTAGTCAAACGTAGGGCAAATGCACCTGTAATGTATTCTAACAAAAACTATAACGAAACGAAGAAGAATTACATGTTTATCTGAAAAAATGAAGACTGATCGTTGAAAGAATTAGTACCATTTTGTGTTTTAAGATGACGTGTATACTCATCGAACGCAGTTAACTGGTTAAAAATAAATAGTTATAGACAGTTCCTGATAAAAAATTAGGGCCGCCATAGTGTTTAACATTTTTCGTGATAATCATAGTATTGGAAATCCAAAAGGTAATTTAATAGTAATTCGTCGTCCTGTTAACCCTTTGTACTGCAGAAGTGTTTCGTATGACGACAAATCGCACGTAAACTGAGGAACAACACTATATACTGCATCAATATGTGAAATATTGAAATTTAATAGTTTGAAATAACTATAAAAGAAATAAAATAATTGTAAAGTTTTATATTAATATAAAGGTATAATAATAATAATTGTAAAGGTATATTGAAATAAAATAAAGTTTAATATTAAATATCAAACTTTACAATTTTGCTGTGTCAAATCAATTGGCTATTGAGAGATGTCTCTGGAGTGCAAGGGATTAAGACCAAGAGTTGAGCAAAGATGTTAAGTCTGTGTTATAAAAAATTAATATGAGGAAACAGATAAGAAATAAATTATTGATTTATTGCAGGTCTTCTCAAAGATGACATCTGTAGTGGCTCCAATCAGGGACTGTGCATATGTTTTGTTCTTTTTTTCCATTTCTTTATATCTATTGTGAATTTTTCAATAACTATCTATATCAAAATTCGTCTTCCGCATCGAATGTAAGTAACATTAATTAGTAAGAAGTGGAAGTCCGTCTGTCACTCATAAATAAAAAAAGATATTAGTAAGATATTTTGAATTTAGAACACACCTGATAGATACAAGTAATTGCATCTGTTAACAATTAAATATTAATTTGTGGAACTAGGCAAAATCTAATTAAAGGCAGCTGCAATTCTGCGAAGATTATATCGTATGCATTGAAATTGCATACATTTCAGAATAAAAATTGGCAGCATTTTATGTTTAATCGTTTGTCTTATTTATTTGTTAGAAGTATAAGAAATTTTATGTTCTGTCTGTAAGTCTACGTGTATTGTAGACGTTGAATATTGATAACAAAGAAACGATATATTTAATTGTGACTTAAAAGTAATTGATAATACTCATATTTATTAAATCTAATTTAAGATTCAATTTCTTTCTAATGAAATAAACTATTATTTTATTTGTTATCAATATTTAAGCTTTAAAGAAATCATAGACTAACAAAGAACAGATA